TGCTACTGCTTTCTAATAGAAGCGGCAACACCGCATTGTCGAAAATATTTTAGTTGGCTAGAGAATGTCCGAATATGCCCTCCATCAAATTTTCACAGTGATCCGTTGTCTGGTTCACCAGAAACGTCTAATGTGCCATCCACCGTGAATCAGCCTGTATAAAGAACAGCAGTTAAAAAACTGCATATAGGAAAAACGTCTAGAAATTTCAAAACGAGAATTTCAGAACACTAAAAAAATCGAACCAATCAAGACTAATCTCCTGAAATCCCAAGAAATCAATGAAAGACAACAATCAAATTCACTATTAAACTACACTATTATACACTAAACTTTCCTACTTACCTAGAATAGTGTATTGTAATTACCGTTACATAAAGTGCATTGTAGAATATTTTACAGTACCAGTTCGACTGGGGAAGCTACTGTGTAGCAAAATGCGTCTTCAGAGTAAATTTAATAGTATAAACATTGTTTTATTGTCATGGACAGTACAACTGAATTAGGTACATAAAGTGTTCAAAGAGACATGCCACACAAACATCTACACAGTGGAAAAAGTGTTTGAACTAAAAACAGGTGATACGTACACGGGATCTCACCTCATCTGAGAGGTCCTCGAAGGAGGCGAAAGGGGCGGGTCCCATGCGCTTCTGTCGTCGAACTGCGGCGGGTGATGTCATCATGTCGTTCACTACTGGGTGCACTGGCAAGCAAGAAAAGGGTCTCATGAGATAACTTACTACAAGTCGAGTGGATGGGTTACACAAAATATATATAGGGTCGTCCAACAGGGGCTTTGGCAATTGATAACGGCCATCTTGTTGAAACTACATCTGTCAAATTACTTGTCATTTATTCAGTCTGTTTTGCTAAATCACCATGAATGGATATATCATTTAACAACACGTGCATTTAATAAAATTGTTTTACCAAAATGGGTGTTCTGCTCGGGCAGCGTACCGCGCGTTCCTCTGACCATTTTACGGTCGCCATAATCGTCCTACCGAGAGGAATATTCGCAATGTATTGGATAAGTTGGAGTCCACTGGATCAGTAAACGATCGACCAACAGCCGTACATCGACGAAACGCATGATCTGCTGAAAACATTGCCGCTATCTGTGAGAGTGTGCGGGAGAATCCGAGGCAGTCGATTTCGTGTCGCTCACAAGAACCCGGCCTATCGCAGACAACAACTTGGCGATTTTTGCGTCGTGACTTGGGCCTGCACCCGTACAAATTTCAACTGACCCAGAAAGTGAAGGTAGACGACCATAGACACGGCATGTGTTCAATGAATTGGCTCTGAAGCAGTTGGTAACTTACCCTAATTTTCATCGAGAAATTATCTTCAGTGATGAGGTCTATTTCTGGATGAATGGTTACGTGAACAATAAACTACCGAATTTGGGCCAATACCAATCCACATGAGATTCAAAAGCGTCCAATGCCTCCCGAAAAAGTCACTGTTGGGTGTGCATTTTGGACTGGCGGCGTCATCAATCCATATTTCTTTGAGAACGACGTTGGCCAGGCTATCACTGCAAACGGCGAGCGCTGTAGGTCGATGATTACCAACTTCATTTGGACTAAATTGGATGATCTGGAAACCAACGACATGTGGTTTCAACAGGACTGCGCTACATGCCACACAGCACCCCATTTCTGATGTATGATCCTGCTTCTTACATCGGAAACATGACCACTCTCTGGCAGGACATGTTTCAGGATTATGGAACCTACCACATCTGTGACACTTCGACTTTGAGACCTGGCTCCGATTCTGTCCTGACTTGGTATTCTTCTGTGAGCTCTCATCATATTTGTGACCATTTCCATACTTAGGACAATATGTCGACTGACCTGATTTTTGATTGAAGGACTTCGTGCCATTGACTTTATCAATATCTTGCACTTCCTCACTATTAGCAAGCAGCAAGCACTTGAACTTCTTTTTCAGCTATCTCACTAGCTTGAGCAACACATGCATTATTGAAGGCCCAGCCCACTTTAAACAACAACTTTTTCTGCAAAATCTCTGACTTCAAACCTCATACAAGTCTTCCTCTCAGAGCCTCCTCTAAGAACGTACCAAATTTACAAGTACTTGTTAGCTTACAAAGTTTAACTATGTAATCACTTACAGTTTGGTCTGGACGGTGAATACAGTTATGAAATTGGAACCGTTCACTCATTTTAAACTTTTCAAAAAGGTAATGATTCTTTAATATACCTATAAGCTGTTGATATATTTCATCACTGGGTGTGAGCGGAGTACCTAATCAAACTTTTGAGTGTTCCACACACGACTGGATCTGCTAATGTTATGAACAAAGACACATTTCCTCCTCGACAGCATTGACTTTGAACAAACTCCCCTTCCCCACTTGAAATGTTCAATAGATCCCATTAAGGTCATCGTGATCGTCGCCAAATGTGTTGTCTGTGGGTCCAAACCTAATTGGAATACATCTTGGTTCATTCAATGAAATAACGACTAATAGGAAGCAGCGATTATTATCAATGTTAGTATTCGCAAAAGACTTCAACATGAGGTCCTGTACACCACTTTTGTTGTATGGCCCTGCTTCTTACATCGGAAACATGGCCACTCTCTGGCAGGACATGTTTCAGTATTGTGGAACCTACCACATCTGTGACACTTCAACTTTGAGACCTGGCTCCGATTCTGACCTGACTTGGCATTCCCCTGTGAGCTCTCATAATGTTTGTGACCATTAACATACTCAAGACAATATGTCGACTAACTTGACTTTCTACTGAAGGACTTCGTGCCACTGACTTTATGAATATATTGCACTTCCTCACTATTAGCAAGCACTCGAGCTTCTTTTTCAGCTATCTCACTAGCTCTAAGAACGTACCAAATCTAAAAGTACTTGCTAGCTTGCGAAGACTTGGCAGATATGTGTATGTTTGTAGTTGACAATTTCCATTAAATTCATGTTTGTCAGAAAGGAAAATAAAGTTTATTATTATTGTTTCCGGTTAAACCGAAACAGCTTTTCATTTGTGTTTTCCTCACAAATATCGTCACTGAAGAACCATACGGTCTTTCCAAATTTCGAACCGAAACATTCACATGGCAGCACGAACGATGATTTTGTTGTCACCCGGTATATCGATGTATTCATCATTCTCTTCATCACCGTTTGCTCATCCCTATAAACTCCACGGTTTGTCTATTGCCACGAGTTTTATAAAATTGTCTTGAATAATGTTCACAAAACGAAATCAAAGAAAAATCAAAGAGGAAATTAGTTTATTTCGATGAAATGTGGTTTCTCAAATTAAATTGGCTGTAAATCGATTATCGACAAGAACGCGAATGAATTGATTCAGTGTTCTGATGGAAGAAAAGGTACGTTCAGGGCCGGATTTGGAAGTGTGGAGGCCTTGGGGTAATTGAGGAGTGGAATCCCCTACTTCTTTTATTTCTCTTCAACTCTTGGGTTCAAATCGTGAATTACACACTAAAAAACGTAATCCACGAAATGCTCGATCAAATCAAAAATTGATAGGAAATGAAAACTTGCAGTCAGGGCTTTCTGATATATCGATAAAATCATCTTTATGTTTGTGCAAGTATTCTTTGTAAAAATGCAAAAAAAAATGTTGCTGACCCGTTAAAACTTGGATACTTTTTTTTCTTTATTGTAGGGGCCCCTCTTCTGTGGAAGCCTCGGAGCAGTAGGCCCGCCTGCCCTTCCCTAAATCCGGCCCTGGATACGTCAATATTATTATTAGTGTGAAGTTACCCACAACTTCTCATCCACAATTTATGACTTGGGACAATCGAACAGGGTTTAGAATGAAATTTGCGAACAGTGTTACCACATTGCAAATATTAGGAATTTTACCTGTAATTCGATGTTATCATATTAAAATGACGATATATTATTGAAACATGTCGAATAAATTAGTCAGAATTCTACATAAACTCATTCTATCAGGTAACTGCCCCAATACAAGCATTAATACCAAAAAAATTTGTAAAATAACAATGTAAAATTATTCAGGAAAAATTTATTTGTACCGGAACAGTTAGTATATGGGAATTGAAAAATTTGTTTTTCGGTGAAATTTTTCATGACTTTTAACTCAAATCACCGAAGGAACTTATGGTACGCAAATCTGTTCGAACACTTCGATAGACATACTTTCGAAGAATGTACTCTGAAATGTTCATCAACAAACTATTTTTGATAAGTGAGAAATTTGGTATTGCTCAACGCAGGTTATTTCAAATGACATACTTTTTAGTTACAAGTCATAAAATTTTTACCGAGAAACCAATTTTCCAATTCCCATATACTACCTGTTTTGGTACAAATGAATTTTTCCTGAGTAATATTATATTCATATTTTACATGTTTTTTGGGACAATTGGCTGATAGAATAAGTTTATGTAGAATGCTGACTCATTTATTCAACATGTTTCAATAATATACCGTGTTTTCGAAATGATAACATTGAAATACAGGTAAAATTCTTAATTCTGGCAACACTGTTCGCAAATTTCATTCTAAACCCTGTTCGATTGTCCCTCCTCATAAACTGTGGATGAGATGTTCTGGGTAACTTCACACTAATAATATTATTTTACTACCATGGAATTTCAGTTTTCCTACCAGAAATCTATTTCTATCTTCTATTAGTTGAAAAAATTATAAAAATTCAATTCCTAACAAGTTCATACTTTGTTTGATGAACTAGTCTAAATGGGACAATTACGGCCCTGCCTATTTGTAAAAGGGTCCTCATGTTTACCTATTAATACTTTAATACCTATCGTGACTCTAGATGTTATTGGAATAATTGGTGGAGATGAATAATGATTCAAATGCTTAACCTTTTGATCAGTTATTTATAGACTTCGACGTAAGCAACTAGAGAAGGTAAATTGATCTAGGTTAGTTCAAAATGTATTATTGAAGCTCAAGTACTTACTTAGTGTTCAAGTAAATAGAGAACCTAAATACGTAACAACACTGTTTGGATTTATTTGTTCGCAAAGGTACAAGTTTTGCTACTGGTAGTAAGTGGTTTCAAAAGTTAGGTCAGTTTCTACGAGTTTACTTCAAACTGCAATATCTCTGTGAATACTTATTTAATTTGATCGAAATAAGCGTCATTTGAATCCGTGCACTTTTGTCAACGTAACACAAGTCGATTAATTTCATCAACATAACTATTTTGTGCTAGGAATTCGATGAAGTCGACGAAAGCCGTTCAACCGGTGAAAAAGTTATCGAAGTGTTTGAACTATGGTACAGTATTTCCAATACCAATTGGAACAGCACAGAGAAGGAATTCCCGCCTCGACATAGGCGTCGGCATATTATTTTTCAGTGGTAGTTTTTCAGTTACTTAATCTTACAATCATAGCAATTGATCACCCCATGAAAAATTTATCTCAACCACCATGGGTAAGTATGAAAAACTTCGAAATTTGAGGTAGTTGATTTCCGAGTCGAAAACTCCAAAATACAATGAAAACACAAATAATCACGCCGAATTCTCGTCAAATATATATTTACAAAATAATAGAGGTCAACAAAATTGCTAGAAAAATCAAAATTCTTCTTCGCAATATTCGGATGAGGTGGAATAATCATCGGGTTGAATAACGATCGGATTTATGGAACTTTGCACATAATATTTGTTCTCTTCTTTCATAACG